GGGGGGGTTGTGCAGGGAGAAGGGTGCAACAATGAACAATGAATGAATGGAATTCCAAAATCTCTGTAGATGTTCATTGAAATGAAAAAGAAACTAAATTTTAAAAAAAGTCATTTCTAAATCCATCCTGAAATACAGTGTGGTGAGCGATAGGATAATACCCATACGCATACAAGGAAGTCCAGTGAATACCACTATAATTCAAATATATGCACCAACAACTAGAGCCAAAGAGGAGGAAATAGAAGATTTCTACCAACTTTTGCAGTCAGAGTTTGATATAAAGATTAAGTGGTAAATTAATATCTTTCAATGTATAGGTGCTCTAGCATACTTATACTGGTGACTTTGATGATGAAGTTTACACCTACCTATGTGTAGAATCATCTTTAAGAGCTAAAAACGAATACCGATTAAGGTGAATATTGACTACTGTAATTTTTACAAATGATATTGACTTTGGTAAGTAGGCCACAGCTCTTGGTAAATTCCGAAGCACAATCCAACCCATTTTCAAGTACTTGCTTTCCTAGAAAATGCAGGTTATGTTCAACATGCAGGGAAACATTTTTGTATTTATATTGGCAAAGCTAGGTTCTAGGCTCAGATAGTATAGGGTTTGTTTTTGTTTTTTTTTTCCATTCACATAAAGGACTTCAGAAGTGTATACTATAGGATAATTTTTTGTTGTTTGGTATCAGCTGTAGCATTGCTAGCTCCAATGCTTTTGGTTTTCCTAATCTTTGTTATGACAAAAAAACCCTTCAAAACTCTCGTTGCTTTTAAGACTCTCAGCGACCTTGTATGACATAGTAAAACTGCCCCATTAAGTTTCCTAAGCAGAATTATTTAAGGAAGTTAACATCACATTTTCTGACTCTGAGCAGCTGATGGTGGTGGAACCACTCACCTGGCAGCAGTCCAGCACTACTGCAGCCCTAAGGCTTTTTACCACTAAAAATGTCTCCATAAAAGTTATATTCTCGGGGAGCTCTGGTGGCCTAATGGCAAGGAGCTGCAACTACAATTCCAGAGGTGCACGGTTCGAATCCACCAGATGCTCTGCCGGGGAAGGAGGGACAATCTCCTCCTGTACCAGTCAGATCTGATTTGACGGTACATGCACACAAAAATAATAAAATTAAAAAAAAAGTTATATTCTCTCACTCTAGGAGATAGTCGTTGTTGTTAAGGGCATTCATGTTGAGTATGATGTATAGCCAACCCATGAACAACGTCCTATCCTGCACCTTTCTTATCATCCTCAACACATTTGAACCCATTGCCACAGACATTGTATCAGTCCATCTTGTTGAGGGTCTTTCTCTCCTTTGCTGACCCTCCACCCTTCAAAGCATAATGTCCCTCTTGAAGGAAAGAATAGCCTCTTCTAACTAAGAGCGTGACCAAAATATGTGAGATGAAGATTCACCATCCTTGCTCCAAGGAGCACTCTAGATGCACTTTCTCCAAGACGTATTTGTTTATTCTTTTCACAGTCCATGGAATACTCTTCTCCAACACCATTAAGTTAAATTTATCAATTCTTCTGCCATCTTTATTCATTGTCCAGTTCTCACATGCATAGCAGGTGATTAGAAAGACTGTAGGTTTAATCAGTATTGCATATTAAAAACTAGTTTTTGTTGTTGTTAGGTTCATCAAGTTGACTGTTGTTGTTAGGTTCCATCAGGTAGACTACAACTAATAGCAACTCTGTGAGCAACATATCTGAACCTTGTCCTGTCCCGTGCCAGCAGCACCATGTCTGATATGCTTCAGCCTATTTTTACAGTCACAGTATCAGTCCATCTTGTTGGGAATCTTCTTCTCTTTTTCTGACTATTCACCATTCCCAATATGGTATCTTTTTCCAAGGACTGGGCCCTCCTGATAACATCCCAAATTACCTGAGACAAAATTTGACCATCCTTGCCTTTAAGAAGCACACTGGTAGCATTTCCTCATTGCCACAGATTTGTTTGTCAGCATTTTAGAGCAGTCCAGAGTACTGAAGAGCAATGATGTCATTGTAGAAGGTAAGGTGCATCTGACCCAGGCCACAGTCTTTGCAATTACTTGCTATGCATCTGAGAGCTGGATAATAACTAAAGATTAGAGAATTGATGCCTTTGAGTTGTGCTGCTTGAGTATTGAGTATACCATGGACTGATAAATGAACAAACAAGTCTGTCCTGGAGAGATCTAAACCAGACTGCTGCTTGGAGGCAAGGATTTTGAAGCTTCGTCTGACATATTTTGGGCATGTTGCAAAGAGGAACCAGTCCTTGGAGAGGGACATCATGCTTGGAAGTGTGGAGTGATAGTGCAAGAGAGGAAGACCCTAGATGAGATGGATTGACTCAGTGAAAGGTAATAAGTGTATGTTTGTCAGAGACAAAGAAGAGTTCAGGGCTGCTGTACTTATGTTGTACATAAATTCGCTATGAGTCGCAAACAACTCTTCGGCACAAAACAACAACAGTGGCTTATGTATTCTGGGGACCTCCTGACAGCTTCTGCTGCAGTCCCAAAGGCACGTAATTCGCCAGCTTCTCTAAGGAGAAGGATGGACAATCCCCGCTTGGTGGGATTAACTGCCACTGAAAACCCAACGGAGGTTGAGCTTCAGACTCTGCGGTACAGTTGATTCTAGAATAAGGAGTTCCATTTTCAGTCCAAAGGCATAAGGTTTGAATTCACCAGCCACTTTGCGGGAGAAAGATGGCTAATGCTCCTCCTTGTCTGATTTACAGCCTTAGGGTTAAGCGCTATTGTGCATAGGATCGCACATAGCGAGTCACACTCGCACATAGCAACAACAACAACAACGTCGTGCTTGGAAGAGTGGAGGGACAGGGCAGGAGGAGACCCCAGATGAGATGGATAGACACAGTAAAGAGGGTAGGTGGGTGGGATGGATAGAGACCGGCTCAGGACAAGGTCGCCTCTCAAAGGTCTCAGAAGACTCGGAGGAGCATAACAACTGAAGGCACTTTCCAGCCCCGCCCACCAGCCTCTGACGTCACCGGAAATGAGCTAGCGGAACTAGGAAAGCCTCTACTTAGACTGCGCGGGCAGAGGCTTCTAGGCGGGTTGGCTGGTGGGATGGCAGATGAGGAAGAAGACCCCGCGGTAAGAAGCTGCGGGTGTCCCAACCCTCTGACCTGGGCAGCCTCAAGCTCGAGCTCAGTAGCAGCGGGCCTGCAGTCCGAGTTCAGAGTCTGTTTTGTTTCCGTTAGTGAATTCAGGCAAGAAAGTTAGGAGATCTCCTTGCTGGTCTCTCTTAGCTTTCATTTTAGTATGTGGGGAAAGACTTGAAAGAAGGGTCGCACAGTGACTCCTTTCGCTTTGCGTCTTATCTTCTGGACAGTCTATGGAACGTCTCAGGGGCTCAAAGTTAATGTTTGTTAGAGTGCATTAGGAACTAACAGTTCAACTGCTAAGAACTTTGCGTACTATAAAGTACTGGGAAAATAATGGACCTTTATCAGGGAACTCGAATAGCAAAGTCTCTGTTCTCTCTTAGCAAGTTATTTAACATCGAGCCTCGGTTTTCTTGTCATATAGTGGGATTAAAGACCCGAGGACTGCTAGGATTGTCTATAAGTATTAGTAGTGTTGACTACAGTCACGTAGACTAATGTAGAAAACATTCCTCAGGGGTTGAAATTGGACCAGATAGTCTTTAAAGGCCTTTCAATGCCAAGGTTTCATGATTTATTGTTCATTTCATGCTTTCTGATCTGATAGCAGTGCTGATAATGGGAACAAATATTACTCATGGGATAATAAAATGAAATACAATCATTTAACATTTCACTAAATTACATTTTAACTTCTAGTTCGAGGAAGAAAGTGAAGAAATCGGAGGAGGTGCCGAAGGTGGACAGGGCAAAAGAAAAAGACTTTTTTCTAAAGAATGTAAGTTGTATTTGACAGTGATTTTGTTATGGATTGGACAGACACTTCCATTGATTGGTCCGAGTAGGTATCTTGTTCTAATTATGTTTCCCTGTAGGATTTGCTTGTAAAATTTTGTTTAACTTTTCAATTGTAGGTAGTACCAAACCTATATATGTGTGTGTGCATTTGTATGTATCTATGTGTATGTATATATATACACACACACATAATATATAAACACACACCTAATTATTAAGAAATGTGACAAGTGTTTAATTCAGAGTTTATAAACATACCTCCATTACTTCATTACTTTTCGTGTCCTTCCTTTTGTAGCAGTAGGAGCATGGGTTTGAAAACAAGAACAAAGTTGTGAATTTAGACTGAGGTGGGTGGCCAAGGCGGAAGGGTAAGTGAGCAGTATGAGGCATTGCGATGCCACCAAGATAAAATGCATTGCCTTTTATCCTCCCACAGGAGATATGTTTGACCTTTTCTAGCAGTAGCAAAAGGGAAGAAGGGCTGTTGTGACTGCTGATTGTCAAGACCAACACCTTGTCCAGAGGCAAATATGCTATCTCCCACTTCATGCTCCTTTACTGTGGCTATATGAGCATTGACAATGCGGCAACATCAATTATGAATTCAATTTACCTGCTTGATTTTTTTGCTTTGTCAGACATTACTACACTCTGCTGTTGAGTCACTTCTGACTCATGGTAGCCTTCCATCAGGTCTTTGTGGTTAAATCTTTGTGATAAATTTTTATGGAAGGAGACTGACTGACCATCTATTTTCCTGTGCAATAGCTGGTAGTTTTGAATGCTGACCTTTCAGTTAGCAACTGGATGTGGATGCTCTGTGCCACCAAGGCTTCTTACAAAGGCTGTTGAAATCACAGATTCCATTTGTCTTTTCTGTATCTAATTTTCCCCCCTAAAGCAAGATTTACCTGACAAGGTCTTATACTTGGACAAGGAAGTAGTTTTTACGACAGAGCAAGGAAACTCTCAATGGTTCCAAATCAGAAAGCAGTGCGTCAGGGATACAGAAAGGAGTGTGTCAGCGAGGCATCCTGTCCCCATCCCTTTAAATCTATATGCAGAACAAATCATTCAGAAGGCTGGGCTCTATGAGAAGGAATATGACATCAGGATTGGAGGAAGACTCATCAACAACCTATGTTAAGCAGATGACATAATGTTGCTTGCTGAAACTGAGGCAGGCCTGAAGCACTTGCTACAGAAGTTCAAGGACTATAGTCTTTAATATGGATTGAAGCTTAACATCAAGAAGACTGAGAATCTCACCACTGGGCTAATAGGCAGCACCATGATGTATGAAGGAGAGAGGTTGTTAACAATTACTGCTTGCTTGGTTCCACAGTCAACACTCTTGGCTTCAGCAGTTGGGAAATCAAAAGACTAATTGCACTGGGAAAATCTGTTGTCAGGCAACAGTGTCAGTCTAGAGACTAAGGTGCACCTGATCTAGGCCATGATCTTCACAATTGCTTGCTGGGCATCAGAGACCTGGACAGTGACTAAGGAAGACAGAAGAAGAATCGATGCTTTTGAGTTGTGGTGCTGGAGAAGAGTATTGAACATACCATAGACTGCCAAGAAAACAAATCAGTCTGTCATGGAGAGGGTGAAACCAAGTTTCTCCTTGAAGGCTAAGATTCTGAAGCTTCGTTTCACATACTTTGTGCACATGGCCAGGAGAGACTAGTCCTAGGAGAAGGACATCATGCTTGGAAAGGTGGAGGGACAGTGCAGGTGAAGAAGATCTCAGATGACATAGATTGATACAGTAACTGGGGCAGTGGGGGTAGGATCATTGGAGTCAGTGAGATTGGCTCAGGACAGGGTAGGCTTGGGAGTTGTACATAGGGTCACTGTGAGTCTTAGGTGACTTGATGACACATAAAAACATCTTTTTTAAAAAATGTGTTTTTTACTATTTTTGAGTTTACATAGCAAATTGATTATCCACCCAACCTTTTATAAACTTTATTTTTTGCCATTTTATATTTTTTACTGTAACAAATAGAACAGATAAAGGTGGGTGCCTCCTTTCAATTCTCACTCTAATTCCTTTCCGAGAGGCAAACAAAATCATAAAAGTGCTTTGCATCTCTCTAATTTAGTTTTTTATGCTTTGATTATTCCTGTATGGAATCCTTTATTGTGATGACAAGAATACTTTTTTATGATGACAAAAATTTGGAATCTTTATAGACTTCTTGAGTCTTCATATACTTCATTGCGAAAAATCTGTTTTCTAAAGCCCCCTTTTTTCCCTATAGCCCTTTTTAAAAGAAACTTTTTTTTAAAATTAAATTTTATTAGTTTTAATGAACATTTACAGAGATTTTGGGTTTTCATTC